GCAGCCTCGGCCTATCACAGCTGCAGTTGCAGTTGCATTTGCATTCGACGGTGCAAGCGAAGCAGAAGCACGCAGTGGCATCGCCAAGGATAGATGTGACTGGTTATCCCGCGCCCACCATCCCGCGCTAAAGGAGCCAGATCCCAGCCCAACAACCAGACGATTTCTGAAGGGATACGATACTTGACGAGGAGCAAGATGAATGATAAGAAACGAAAAAAGAAAAACCACGGCATAAAACCATGTTGCAAATCATTGTTAAGAGCGCATGCATATCTTGGATTCCGATGCCGTATGTTACCGTGCTACCCTTTCCTTTATGCAAAGGAAGCTTGCTTCGGACAGACGGGAACCGAGATGTGAAAAGTATGTACATACAGATCAATTTCAAGGTGCGCCATGTCTCATTATACGATGCGGCGGGCGCAATAGTTCAACATTTGCTCTTTCGTCTTCGAGACCTTTTTACACTTTCCCAGCCGAGTACCTATCCTCTGGTGACTCCGATTCCTATCATTGCCCTTTAAATATCATCTCGCTTATTTGACATATCACTGCCGTTGTTGCCAACCTCTAAATTCGGGTTGTTCATCGTTATTCTCCATCTCCTCACGTCATCTCGAGGAAAAACACATCCACCAACCTTGATCAACCTTGGCACTTCTCGGCATAGCGCCTCAAACTTCTCCGCTCTCTTGCTTTAGCGCCAGACTTCACATGCGGGATGCAGGACCCGGTGCGCGGGAACCCTCATGGATCTCACGGCGCTAGGCCATTTGCGTCTCAAGGGTCACGGCTTGTCTCCTCTTTCCTCACTTGAATTTTGCCGTCCCGTACCGTGCTGCCCATCTCCCTCTCACACTGTGACGAGCACTGACACCGCCAGAACAATATCCATTGAACACTGGTCCAGACGGGAGGACCTAAAAGACTGCCAACCATCAACTAACTCCATATGTCTGGCTGGTTTCAAGTATAACTCTTCCGCAAAGGCAGGCGACTTGCGTTGAGAATGGTTGTTTGTGCAATGCATATGCACATATGCACATAGGCTGATGCAACTGATGCAACAGCAACACACTAACGTGGGTTATGCCAGGGATACCCACGACTAATCTCCAGCCACGCATTCTCTGTCCTTGACTGTCAGTGGCCAACTGTACGATGTGTATGCCCAACTCGACAATCCAAATGCTTGGTCCAGCATCTCTGGAATACGACCTGATGCATCCATGTTTCAAGATTGGCTGCCAGTTGTAGGCAGCCCTTCAAATGCTGTGCACCACACCACTTTCTCTTGTGCCGAACATCAACTGTCAGCGGCAATGGAATACATACGTACGTACTCCAAATCCACGTTGTTAACCGCCAGCTAGGACTGGTTGTTTCAGTCGATTATTCCTCGGCTCACACAACCCATCCATGTTCAGTTATGGATACTTGATCGTTTAATACAACCTCGAGGGTCGCATTGCCCGGACATGGGCTCCGGCAGAGTCATGTTGCCTACCATCCTTGACATTTCACAAGTCATGTCAACTCATCTCGGTACTTTATTCGAAACTGCCTAGCTGTCAAAAACATCAGACATTCGCAGGTAGCCACAATGCGCTGACCAACTGCATCACGGCATTCGCTCCATCACGAAGTCTATCAGAACAAAGAAACCCAACTCCCTGGCCACGGCGCTGCGGGTACCATTTTGCTGCATTCCGGTCTCCTCCAGAAATTCACCGTGCGTAAAAAGGTTCTGTTGGTTCCTGGATTTTTCATATTCAGTGTTGGTTTCGTTTCTAGGATTATCTCTCGGGAGAGGTTTCATCCGGTATTGGACATGCCAGGTCCAGACAAGCCAGATCAGATCATGTCTCTCTGTGCCGTTAAATTGCCACGCTCTCGATTCCCTCCCTGCATTAACCAGAACTAGGTAACAGCTAACGTCTTGCAGAAGGGGGATCTCCTCTCGATTTACCTTGTCAGCGGGGAACGGGCCGGACGGGACGAATACAGCCTTGCAAGGTTGATTGTGATTAATTATTCATCATCACCAACAACACCGCACATCACTTACACTTTCATATGAAAGTGTTCATTCTCAGCAGATAACGATGAATCACAGCCGTTCTTACTGTGTACTTGCACTTACCACCATGTCTGCAACGCCCGCAGTGCTCAGCTCCTCTCAGGAGGTCCACCAAGTCTCATCCACTGAAATTGTTTGTCTTGATCTGCCGTACGCCACCAACACAGTCATCTACCCCAGCCCAGTCAAATATCTTGATCACAGAATGAAGGGAACACCGCATCAGGCTGGAAGCCCTGGGACGTCATTGTCTTTGCTTTTGAGTGACAAATTTCTACTGAATTTCCACGCGTTTACCCGCCTAGGGGACGCAAGCCTCCAGACCAATCCCGCAGGGCATTCCAATAATATTGACTTTGAGATATCAGACCGTTTTCCCCATCTCCCAGCCAAGAGGCCTGTGTTTTCAAAGATAGGCTCTGAGGAAGATATGCTCCTGAGACAAGCCGTTTCAACGCAAATCCTCCCTTCAATCGGGACTGATCATATCACAACTCACACCGTTGACGATACCCGCACAAGGCTCAACTCTAGATGTCGAGGCTTAGCTACATACTATGCTTCAGTAGGCTATCCCTTCTCTCCCTGCACTGCCGATCTTGTTGGTCATTGTCTCAACATGGCGCGGCACAACCTGACGCGGGCTTACCTGTCGATCGGATACTTTCCCTTCTGTATTCTTTGTCACTTGAGTCCAGAAGCTAAGGCACAAACACCAACTTGTAGATTCCAGACATGGCCTTTGCTTTTTTGCTCGTTCTCGTCTATGCTTGCCCATTGCAAGCCACAATCCAGTTTCTGTCTCACAACCTAGACTCTGATTTACCCCTCTTCTTGGTAACACCCAGCTTCTCGTATCACGGTAAACCTGTCTTGGTTCAATGTCTCTTATCGAGTTTGTTGTGTAAGGGAGCCGGGCGGGCAGGCAGCGTTTCCCCGCTGTTGGGCATCTGCGGCCGTTGGCATTACCAGCTCACAGGTCCGTCTTCTTTGTGAGAAGTTTTGGCTTCGATGATATTGGACGCCACTTGCAGCATACCGGACATATCCTCCGGTTCGATTGACTGCCCTGCACATGCCACGAAGTGAATTGAGTCAGTGGTTCCTCTTCTTTGTCGCTATTATTGATGAGTGAGTGGCCTGTCTACAAGCGTTCCAGTTACGTCGATGTATCGACAAGTGTCGAGGATGTGATACTGGTTTTGCTTATTATAGCCAAGCCAGTCTAACAAAGTCAACAACACGGCTGAAACAGCCACAGTGTGTCTCCTCACACGAATACGCAGTCCAATGCTCACATATCCGGAGTGCTATCCTTTGCATATAGCATTGGTGCATGTCGAAGAAGCCTTCAGTTGTTAGACAAGGACGTGTAGATCAGCAAACATGCCGCAACCCGCAAACTATCACGTCAACTCTGACGCTCTGCATAGTCGTGTCTACTCTCGCTGTTCCACGTCGGCAGGCTCTGGGGGGGACTCGTAGTCTGACAGACATGGTATGTTGCACCGTGGGACGAAAGAATGGGCCGATGGGAGATGGCACAGTGAGTGAGTATCCGTCGAGTTGCTGGGAGACGTCTAACTTGACAGGTGATACTGAGGTATACATGGTAACTGTCACTTCCATGGCAATCAACGGATCTGCTATCCTTCCGTGAAAGACTCCAGTGTCCTTTGGCAGCTTCTTGCCGACCTCTTCTAATTCAAAGAGCAATGACGTCTGAATCTCAGGTCGAAAACCTCCGGGCTCAGCCATTTCTCCAGGATCTCACAGTAGTCACAGCCTCCATCTTCAATCCCTGGTAGTTGAACTTAGTACTCCCTGCCCACGTGGAGCTGGCATACCAGGTTTCCTTTTCTCGGGGCGTATGTCTCAGAGCTGCGTGACGATCTCATCCCTTGCGCAAGCCACAACATAAGAACGATGTAACGAAAAAGCCAGGCATGAAGCTTTAGAGGTTGCTTGAGCAATTGAAGTGCAGTAACCAAATGGCGTCTATTATAGTTGCTGTCTAGGCCCTCAGGGGCAAGAAAATAGCAAACCTCATTATAGGGTGTTAAAATAAACTTAGTAAAAGTTATCCTAAGCTTAGGCTATATTACCTAAGTCTTTTTGTCATTAAGGATTGAGGTCTTATGTTTTCTTTCCTCCCCTAGCTAGGTTAGTACCGGTTGGTTAATGTGCTGAAGTCTCTATACTACTTGTGTAGGAGTGGTTGATGAAATAGTTGCTTGGCAACCGCGAGAGCGCGAAAGAGCGAAGTGGCTTGTCGTGGGGATAGAAGTGACGATGATCCCGCTTGGCAGGGATAGACTAGACTTGGTTTGTCTTGGTTTTATTGAAGGTGTAAAGAGGAACAGGCTTTGGCCGCATTGGAAGTTCCGGAGTGAGACATGTGCTGACCTCGTTGTGCTGATTTGGTTGGTTTAGGGTAGTCTCAAACTCGAAGGATCACGATCGATGAATGTCGCTGTTGACGAGAACTAAGTTAGTGCGTATAACTCCTTCTATGGTGATTATGATATTGGGACTGTGATACTAATGAGTGTCTTTACTTGGTTGTCTATGTATGAAATATGAACTCTATAGATAAACTCAGCAGTTAATGACTTTCCAATTGTCAATACGAGTATGAGAGAATGACAATATTAATGATGATTAGTTATTAAGTTACGTCAACAACATCAACAACCAAAGGGCATCCGACTCCCGTTCAATGAGGGTATCTCAAAACAGGCCAACTCGAAAGATATCTTTTGACTTCCCCCAAAATCCTCACCATTATTTCCTCCCATACCTTAGCCATGTTCGAAACGAGTGTCCTCATCATCACGTTATTCATAAACGCACTCATCATTGCATCCAACAAGGAGATGCTGGTCTTCTCTGTCAAATCAGACATGATTAACACATGTTAGACCGCAGCCGTAGCAGTAGCAGGAACAGGCTGTTCAGCCGCAGGAGCAACAGGAGCCCTCTTCTCAGGGAAGACACCATTGCCAGCATTGACGCGACCATACTGCGTGAAGTGCAAGTTCAGCGCGCCGTAGTCCCAGCGCTTAGACAAGAACACGAAGGCAAAAGCGAGCCCGGGAATCAAAAGGACGTCGAGGATACCAAAGAAGATGAAGCTTCCAGTGACACCAACCACGTTACCACCATCAGAGATACCATAGGCGATGGGGTACAGCATCCAGAGGAGGTTCACCCAGCCTGCGAGCATGAGATAGTCCCGAGATAGGCCCAGGCGAGCAGCGGATGTTCGGCCGGGATGGAGAGTCTGGAAGGCAAGCATGAGATAGGCGAATGTGCCGAAACCGAAGAATCCCCATTTGTACGAGGTTGTGGTGTATGCGGAGCAAAGGTACGAGATGATCCTGCTGCTGTTAGTATGTGTACGTCTATTGCAGTGACGAATGACTTACCAGATCCAGGCGAGGAAGATGTTAAACAGGATAGTAGCCCAGCTCACACCACTCATGAGTCCCAAAGCCAGAATGATAATAGGGAATGCAACAACCCAGTTGATATACTTGGCAAAGTAGATCTGATATGAGAGAGCACGGCCGAGGTTACGCTGCGTGGGAATAACAGAGTAGGCAATTCCAGAGGCGATGGAGAAGTAAGCGATTGCCCCGACGAAGAGGGCGATTGTGAAGAGGTAGTGGAAGATTCTCTCGTTGTTGCGAGGCTTGAAGCTGAGAGCAAAGTAGGCGAGCTGATGCATGTTAGTGCTATGTGGTGATGTAAGAATAGGGGAAGACATACGAAGCTGACGATGTAGATAGCTGTTACAGCCCAGAGCCAGTCTGAACCAGCGTCAGAGAGACGAGCGTCACCCGATTGGGGATTGACGTCGAGAGCATCGTTTCGAGCAAAGATGACAGCAGGCATATTGAGTACAACCAACAACGAAGCCTTATAACTTTTGGTAAACTCTTGTACAATTGATCAGTAGCTTGTATGCTTTTATATCTCCAGTGAAGAACGAGAAAGCGAAATTCCAAAGCGAGAGGAGACACACTCTTATATAGAAGACACCCAAGATCTCATCACCCAGTGGACATCGTCGATGCCTCAACACATTTCACCCAATCCGAGGAATCATTAATTCCACCTGGTCAAGTTTACATCACCCGTCCAATCCCATTGGCTAGTGAGAAGAAGTAAAGAAACCCTCAGAGCGTTGCACTTCTTCTTTTCTCTCTCAGGGAATGACGTGAAAGAGTCTCGTTGTGTATCGGGTACTTACTTAGATGTGCATGGATTGGATGGACGAGGCTCTGCTGGGGTATGTAAACATCCTTGGCGATACTCAACATGACACGGTCGAACTGTCAGCCAAGCCTTCACCTCGCAATGAGTTTAACTTGGCGATTAATTCAAGAAACAATCATGAATCCGAGGACAAGAATCGTCTTTGCCAGTCAGATTTTCAGTATCATTCTCAGTGAATCACCGTCACCAACAACGAGAGGTAACAGTAACAAACACCAAAACAAAAAGCATGTCATGCCACTATCATATCAAGTCGTTTAATTCCGTGGCTTCCGAGTTGTCATGTGTTTCCATGTACTAAACCCTACAGTCGATCTCTTTCCATGCCTAGCCTCAACCCTGCAGAACCCAAAAGAAGACTCACAAGAGGAGACGTCCCGCTCGAAGCCGGAGCATTTACACAGACAGGGCTGATTAATTGACGTCAAAGTGACTGCATGTCTTATACAAGGTTATTTCAATGTCTACCTTATTCTCACAACACATCACGCGCTCAACATCTACTGCGTATTCGCATATCTAGGCTCTTGGGTATCGAGATTCCTCATTTTCGATGATGATGTTTCTCTTGGGGTGATAATGTACTGATACTCTTCATAAACCACCGTCATTCTCCCTTCACCGTGTCATTCCACGTTTCATTGCATGGCAACCCTCCGTCATGAACTTGATCCAGCCCATTCATACACCCTTGTAGCATATCAGTCACGAGCAATACACCCTTGCCCCTCTTGGCCGCTTAGCCCCGGCAGATCCAGCGTCTGCCGTTAATTCCAGCACATCACCCGAGGAAATGTGACTCTATGCGACGGAAATTGTGACTGCGACTGCAAGCTTACCGCAAGTCCCCCCATCAGATATCATTATTCAACCACGCTATGTCAAGAAGAAGCATAATATAGGTTACATCAATGGCCTTTGCGGTCTAGTATACAACACACCATTCCAATCAACGCCTTCCGACACCACCATGTTTTCTCCGCCATTACCTGGAGGCACACCTCAATATCCCGCCTGCTCCATCTGATACGCTGCTGTTTTTGCTCGCTCCCGCACATCCAAATCTCCATCTTGCTTTGTGAGAGCCTCCATTTTGGAGTAGAACCCAAGCTTTCGTAATTCGTGCGCCCTGAGAGCACAAGCTTGGGTCTCACCATCGTCATCCTTATAAGTCAGGTTGATAATCAAGTGACATAGCGCTACCCGGACTTCTCGATCTTTGCTACTGGCCTGCTGCGCCAGAAGTTTCAAAAGATCTGTTTGCGCGATGATCATCTGCTGATGTCGTGAGATGCTCGCCGCGATATGCGTTAGGATGTATATAACGGCCACAATAATCTTGCTCTGTGGGTGGAACATCCTGGGCTCTCGGCCACTCGTAACTCGACGGGAAAAAGGTCTATGCACCTTGGGTCGCAGTTTGGATGATAGTATCTCGAATAACCGTTCGCTTCCGAATTCATGCAGCAAAAAGTCGATCATCTCCGTTGTCTCATTCGTTGTCTCTGGTGACAGACCACTTCGAGGCCTTCCAATCAGGTTCCGAATCATATCCAGCCCTTGTTCCTGGATCGCTACATCGTCATTCCGTGCTCTCCGGACCGGGTTTAATTCGGATTCTCGCACCGCTGCGAGTTTGTCTTCAACTTGTCTCAGCCTTGAAGAGTCGGCGGCGTTGAGTTCTCGAAGCATTCCGTTTGATCCGTAAATCCACCGATGGGGTTCGTCTGATGGTTGCATATCCACATCGTCGTCCATATCCAGTCCCGACGCTTCCCGTTCCTTCGCCAGCTGCAAGGCCATGTCTTCCGTGTCGTCGCAAACCAACTGCTGTAGCCAGTGAGATCCAAGCTCAGCCAGGCATGCTTTCTTCAGGTCGGGTCCAACGGCATCTACAAAGTGTTTGAGTGCCCACAATCCGTTCAAGCGAAGAGCCGGGTTTTGTGAGTGGGCATGCTCGCAAAGAACAGTCACAACGCCATTCTCGGCAAGAAGCTGTGACAATTAGTATCTGTACTCCACCAAGACGGTTTCTTAAAAACATACCTCTCGCACTGGGCTGACCTCCAGGACCAGGTTGCAGATAGCCCCAGTAGCAGCGATTTGAACATTGACGTCCGGATGTTTCATGAAGCGGAAGACGGGCAGCGCAACTCCATGGTCAACTAGAGATGTTCGCAGAATGCTGACTGATCTCGAGAGCATTCGAACAACATGACATCCGGCAACGATCACGGAAGAAGGATTGGCACCATATCCTGCCGTTTCCCCCTTTCTGGTAGTCTCGGCGCTTGGCTTTTCTGAGCCTCGCTCCTTTGCACTCTGGGGTCTTCTGGGATACTCCGAAAGGGACTCGACAACGTAGGAAACCACATCTTCGGCCACAAATGCTTTTCTGTAGTCTTCTTTACCCCCTGCGAGAGCTGCGATGGCCTTCAATGTGCTTTCGCGCACTTTGAGTCGGTGAACCAAGAGCTCATTCTGACCCTCCTGACCAAGTTGGGCCATTGGGGAGTTGTTCTCGACCTCCATATCGATATCTGTGTGAGGCGACCAGTAATAGGGCCGTGTGCCTTCCTTTACAGGAGTGTAGGCGTGTTTAAGAAGCCGACTCAACACAGGCACGGCTTCACATTCGTAGGCTGCCTTCTGGAGATACTCGCTGTCTGTAATCATGCGTGCCAAAACCACTGGTGCGCGCTCCAAAATAGTGCGTTTGACCGTATTGTCGACCTTATTGACATCTGAGACGTCTTTGTCATTTTTTGCTATCATGCGGACGAGAAGCGGTACCACGAGAAGTCCCAGGCTCGCTTCTCTCAGCCCTTTGCTTGCTACTCCGCCTTTGATAAGGGCAGCAAGAATATCAGAGGCAAGAAGGCGCTCATATTCACCTGAGCGCCTCACGAGTCGGACCAGCCAGGGAATAAAGGGGCTCTCGATCTCCTCAGTATCTTCAGGACTCGAGCTCGTGGTTTGAAATCGAGGAGAATCCCATATAGCAGACGAGCTGAACCTGCTCAGAGAAGATCGGCTAGATGATTGCGAATCCGAGGAGCCACCTGTTGGTACGGAGCCGTAGGGGGATGTAGATTGGTTTCGGGGCAAGTTGATGGGAAGCATATACTCCATCGCAGTCACTGAATGCTGACGCATGCTGTTAGGGCCTGTCTGCTCGACGTCCAGGTTTACTGCAGGCTCAAATTTGATAGGCGGGAACACAGCAAGAATAGAAGGAGAATTTGCCAGTCTATTTGCCCGATATTTTGAATCTCCCAGAATAGCACCGATAGCCTCAAGTATCGAATTCAATCTTAATGTTTGGGGCGCCGGCTCGGGGAAAGCCTCAAAGAGCCCATCGCTCTTTGCTGAAGCATCAGCCCCTGGAACAACCTCTCCACGAAGGACCGCAACGCTTGCTAAACGGGTCGCTAGCGCATCTAATACTCCGGATGTTGCCAAAGCTTGTTGATGACGCTCTTCACGGCAAAGTCGAGATATCAAGCCTGCTGCGAGCGAAACTTGCGATTGTAGGAGGATATTCGTAGAAGTGTTAGAGAGCATTGCCCCGAACGAATCGAGATATTGGGCAGAGAATACGGTATCCGCTAGAGATTCCACATCGATGGGCGAAGATGGCGCTGCCAGGGCAGAAGCATCAGCTATATCGGTCAATGCCTTGAGGGCTGCGATGACGAGTTGCGGTGCGTTGGTGAACGGTGATACGTTGGCCATGAGGGAGGGAATTGCGCGTGCCGCATGAAGGGGCGCAAGGAAAGTAGGCCCTCCTAATCATGTCCATCAGTAACTATAACCAGGCGATGTCGAGCACTTTGTTGAGAACATACCGTTCGCGAAGCTCGCCACCAACTGAAGCGCCTGTAACCTCACATTCTCATCTTCCGATAACGGCCTCTGTGGTAAAGGATATCGAGAGTCCTTCCCGTTTGGCTTTGCTGGTGACCTGGCCGAGGCCAATGTTCTGACAATTGGATCAAGAACACCCAAGCCAACCCACTGCTCTTTTCTTTGTACATGGCCGATGATTTCATTCTTGAGAGCTCTTAAGGCGTCAGTCTGTTCGGGCAATGTTCTAGCGTTCCGCAACTGAGCCAGAATCGGGTGGCTTTGCGCTCGAGCCATGATGACGGGTTTTTGTATTAAAAGAAGATAGGTTGAGGAATTTGGAGTCGCAAGACAACGGCGTCGAGGAGGGGATTCGTGTGTAGCTGGACGGAATTACGTAGCTGTGGTTGCTGTTCAATGGGGGGAACCTAGAAATCGAGGACACTGAATGATGTTGACGCCTTCACATCCAATGAAACAGTATGCGCTGATAACTACTGGGACTTGCTTGAGAAGAGAAGAATCGGGGACTAATTGATCGAGGTTGGCCGATGACGATACGATAAGTGAGGAAATTGGGATTCGATGCTGCTGAAATTCAAGTTGTCAACTGTTAAGAAACATGCGAGTTACTATCAAAGCCAGTCCGGGGAAACATGGCGTCGTAGATCACGTCAAGTAAGGCGGACTCCGAAAGATGGCACGTGCTTCTATCTTATCGCAGTGATAAAGAAATTGATCGAAAAGCACTGTGGCTTGAGCAGCCACAACGCTGGTCGTGGGTCACTGGTGTATGAGACATGATGTTGAAGCTATCATGAGTCCTCTTCTAGTTTGTCTGATTTAGCTTTTTCTCTTCAAACTCATAGGTTTCAGCCGAGTTTTTAAGGCTTTGTGTAACTGGTTTGCATATCAAGAAACGTGGAGCTCGGTTTCTTTCTATTTTACTGCTTGAGAAACGTAGGACAATTTGACCTGATCAGAAAGATATGGTAAACCCAATTGACTGCACAAGCACTCTCAGGTCAACTCTTGATGTTTATCCAGTCAAGTGACTTTATATCTCTTAATTGAATCAGAGCTTGAAAGGAGCCAAATAATTTTGGCTCAAGTGCTATCTTTTTCTGACTACACAGTATCGAGGACGATGTTCTCATCCATTTGTGCCACATCAATCTACCACTTTGGTATAATAGCCGTTGATTTCACGACCACTGTTTGAACCGCGCATTGAATACCTAATATATAGTCATGGAGCCATCGTTATCGAGAAATTTAGCAAGGCCTTTCCTTGGTGGATTCGAAAGGCACCAATACTGGTGATGCACTATGAGGACGCATGATCGCCTGGATCATAGTTTCACATACCAATAAATTCAATTGGACACTGAGTTGACTTGAACAGGAAATGAAATGAAATGAAATGAAATGAGGCTTACGAGATGCCATGCGCGAACATAGGCTTATCTTCCATGTTGCCTCATCACAAAAGAAGTGTCTCGATAGTCAGTCATGTTCGTAATGACTCGATCAATTTCTGTTAATCTTATGACAGGTATCAAACCCACAATGGAGGCGCCTTAAGACAACACTATAAAACCTTCCTCTTTCATCACCGCTAGCCGCGTTAACATCTTAGACCGACTGTTTCGTAGCAACAACATCGCAATGTCTCCGCAAACTTAATCTATCCTTGACCGAGCTCCGATTTTGGAATGATCCGCTCGCGGCATTTGAGCGATGATCTGGGCTGTGGTGATATGCTCCAACCTCTGACGGCTTGTCGTTCCGTCCACGTTGTGGTTTGAGTGGCTCACGAACGTCGAAATACAGGGCCAGGCTGTACGAGGCTCTTTCTGGGGCATGAGGTGCATCTGGGGTAACGTAAACCTCCTTCGTCTAAGCAGGGACCTTTAAGGTGTCTGACTAGTGGTCTAGTCCTTGAGCGGTATATCCTCATTATGTGCCGTGTTTTGCTATTGTGCTGATCATGCCATGCCATGCCATGCCATAGCTGAGTGCACAGTCCCCGAACTTGATATTGCTCTGGGAAGAGGTCAATGGTCAATCACAAGAGCGCTTTGCCTACAGCCACGATACTTGCCTTTGTCTGCATCTGGTTTGCTCAAACACATACTGACGACATTTTTACACCACTAAGGGATTCACCGTGGTCAAGAGATACATGCAAATTCTATCTAACCAATCACCCTGGTTAGTGGCTGGCGTTGGTTCAGGCCTCTTCTCTCGCTTGAGACCCCTGGAGAGGGGGAATCATCAAGCTTTGAGGAAAGATTCACCCATCTCGGGCCTGGACCTATTGAAAGATTTGCTGTTCAGTTTGCCATCCGACCCGAGTCATTCTGCCAAGATCTGCCAAGGCCTCGTCCAGTGAGCAGATGAGCCTGCTAGGCCGTTGAGCCAGTGACTAACAGCCAGGCCTCCACTGGAGAGAAATTCTGCAGGGCAGCCGACCTGAGAGAGTGAGAGCGCGGTCCGGTCTTCATCCGGAGCAAAGTTGTACAGTTGCTTAGAAAAGTCTACGTGCTGTAACATCTCCTAAGGCATGTATGTACCCATATCTTGACCTGTGGACCCCCCGGCCCCGGGCTTGTCCGGTTGATTTATTACCCACTCACCTCACTTTCACCTACCAATGCTAGGCTTCCCAGCCCACCTTCGTCATCCCAAACTCTTTGTGCGCGTGTCGTATCGTATCTGACAAACAGCAGCCACTCTCTCAAATACCATACCACCCTCTAGTTACCGTGCCATACCATACCATCCATACCACCTTGAACAGCCCATGCTACTTTAGGATCTCTTGCTAACCCTCTAGCTTGGTATCCTTCGGTGAGCGTTCTTGTCCATAGCGCAGTTCCTGACACTGCAGATTGCGCCAGTGTCGCGCCCACATGGACTGAATCGATCAAACGCCATGATCTAATTCGCGATTCCACTAACCCCATACTTGATTTATCTACCGTATTGAGTTCAACTTCCAACTTCGACTCCTTCGTTGCCATTTTTCAATCTTGAAAGACCCTTGTCTTGCTTTACCGACATTCAACATCGCAACTTTTCAGCCCTACCAAAAACGCAACAAAACGCAACCCAACCTTAGCCAATCGCACACTACAACTTCAACTGGCCTAAAACCCCTCGATCCTACAACCGTCCCGACGAACCGACATCTCGACGATGCGCCGCAAATCATGCTGAAGACGTCTCCAGCCTTGTCCGCCTCCGCCAATGCCTCGCCTACCGCTTTTCGATATGCGACGTCGTCCCCTCAGCACTCCTCAAAGCCTTCGCCAGCTCTCCGGCGACGGCCTTCTACCCGCTCCGACACTCCATCATCCACCGACGCTATGAAGTCGTCTCCGATACAGCGTCCGAGACAGTATGTCGCGAATGACTCTGGTATACATGGCTCACCCGAAGTCCAACGACCGCCGTCATTAATTTCTCAAAAAGCCTCTGCGCATCCTGCACAATCACCTGCCCCCTCACGCCCTTCTCAGGATCAGACTGTGCAGCAAGGCCAAGGCCAAGCACCAAGCGGGGTGTCACCAACTAAACGTCGAAGCTCTCCCACCCCGACCAATCCAGATGCTGTTGCTGCTGCGAACTCTTCACCACAGACGAGTAAACGTGCCAAACCTGCTACGCCGCCACCAAAAGTGTTACCAGATCGTTATGAGCTCTGTGCTGTAGAGGATATGGTAGAGTTGGTTGCGCATATGTTGGCAGAGTTGATCGCTACGAATGACGCCATCCGAATTTCGAATGGCGGATTGACTCGCTTTCACTCAAGGTAGATTGCGGCTCTGCTCATTCGGATTTAATGGATTTAGCTAACATGATGCAGAACCGCACCTGGAATCTCGGTTCGAGATTACCTCCACCGTTTGGCTAGACATGCGACCCTAACACCACCGCTTCTCCTGGCCATGGTTTACTACATTGATCGGCTATGCGCCATGTACCAAGAATTCACCATCAATACGTTGACTGTGCATCGATTTTTAATCACTGCAGCTACAGTCGCTGCTAAAGGGTTATCAGACTCTTTCTGGAACAATACCACTTATGCTAGGGTCGGTGGCGTTCGAGTAGCAGAACTCAAATTACTAGAGTTGGAATTTCTCTACCGAGTCGATTGGAAAATTGTTCCAAACCCTGAAGTCCTCGTGGCATATTACAAGGGTCTAGTGGAACGAACCCCTGGCTATGTTTTAGAATCGGATGGTTCAGACGACGAAGATGAAGATGAGGATGATGACGCCGAAGACGGAGAGAATGAGCCTTCGGACAGTTAGACTTGACGCCAATTGGTTCTTTGTTTGGTATCGAGGCCAACAATCCTTCCAATTTCTAGGACTACTCAACCGAGCTGGCTGTGCAGCCAGGAGCTTTTTCACTAATTTCATTAACGGAACCATGACGAGAGGAAAAGAGTTGATTCTGCATAGCACTGCATTTACAGGCGTTGGGGATAAGGGCGGGTTTATTCCGATTATATTGAAACGGTACACGGATGGGATGGAATGCAAGGGTTGTATTATGTCAAACTTTTTGTACGAGAGCGTCTAGACTCAACTGTGAGCATTCACTGCACTGCATTTCATGATTAAAAACTTCCTGATCAAAGAGATCAGAACTTTGCCTGTTTTGCCTTATATAGATGATCTTAAACTGTGCATGCCCATTGTTCGTTGAAATAAATTAGCCGACAATCTACCGCCTCATACTGAAGCTAGGTACTACTACCGGGAGGTACCCATGTGTCGTTTCCAAGCTCCAGAGCTGCCATACTCACCATCCATCAACTACATCACCAGTCAAAGGCGAATCATTGCCCACTGCTTGCAATGAGGATCACAACCTTCCTATCAACCATCTGCGCCGCTGCGCTCGTAGCAGCTGAGCAGCGCACAGCTCAAGTTTACATCCAACCTATCCTATCCTCATCCTCGACACCCCAAATCCTAGCTGAAGTCGCCTACGACGCCGCCTCACTCATCTCCACTGAGATCGTCTCCTACGAGGCCCCTGAGCTGCCCGAGTCTGCATCCCTCGTCCGTGTTGGCATCTACGACCCCAAGTCTTCGCGCTGGATTGCAGGTACCACTGCTGCCTCAACGGAGAACTTTGACCGCGGATACGCGCCTACGATATTACTCTCGGTAGATGAGAGCGGCGATGTGCGCAGTGTGGCGCTTAAGGGGGTGAGAGTCGATGCTGGCCAGACAAGAGATTTTGGACCCAAGGCTGTTGTTATCGCGGAGAAGAAGGGGGCTCAGCCTGAGTTGAACAAGCCGGTTGTGCTGTCACCAAATGGCAGAAAGGCAGCTGAGGAGGAGCCCAAGTCTCTTTTGCAAAAGTGAGTATTGTTGAAACGAAATCAGAGAGTCAAATACTAACGTTTGAATAGGTATTGGTGGCTTATTGCTATCGTGGTTGTCATGTCGATGGCTGGTGGAAACGAGAAATAGACTTACATACGCTCTAACCAACCATTCTATGCCAATTTTATTCCTCATATCACCGTGAATTATATTATTGGCGACCCAGGCATTTGGGTCTGTGGGTTGCGCGTGTGTCTGCGCCTGCGGGAACGTGATGATCTTGGCCATGAGGTTGGGGATGACCCAGAAACGGGGATCATCTCACGACAGCATCATAAGACTATCAGTCAAGAAAGAAATAGGTCTCCCTAGCTCTTTCTTCCTTTCATATGTCTCTGCTTGGACTTATAGCTAAGGTAAGTCGGAGGGAAAAGGGGGAAGGGAGGCGATCGGACTTATCATCAGCATTGCCCAGTATTACTTCATCTTGCTGGAGGACTTTGCTGCCGGAGATCCGGCTCCAGGTCCTTGATCTTGCCAAATTTCGCATTCCTTTGTGCAAAGATGAGCTCTTATTGTTCGAACAAGCTAAAAAGATCGGCGAACCTCTTGCTATAGCAAGGTCTTCCTATGGCATATAAATGACTAATGATTCCCGATATACGAAACGAGTGGGAAGAGAGTTGCGTTGAACTCAAAGTCCTTCTAAAAGTTCGGGTTCCTCACGCGTTGACGTTACAGATAACTAATTCAGTACGTTTGGCAACACATTGGGCTTACAGCGTATGGATAGCAGCTTGGCTTGGAAGATGAGCGTCATGAAATCAAGAAACTAAACCTCACAGCTATCAGGAACTCTATTTCAAAGCTTTCCCCCACAGCTTCAACGAGGAGTATTCTTGGACCTTGGAGTTCACTATTTAGTCTCCAAGCGACTCACATTATCGGTATTCGCGCCTTCACTTCGGTGGAAAAGAAAACTCAGAAATCGATTATGCCACCTCGAGTGTGTCACAAGGGCCACTGAAGGTGCGTAGCAAATTCAGCCCTGAAGAGCCAGAGTACTGGGGATATCTGGGAAGATTGTTTGCAGAGTTGGCCAAGGACAACAGGCTACGAAACTTACGGCGAAAGTAAGTTTCCAATTCATTGAGAGCTATATTATCGCCATTCATCTGAGGTGTAATAGAGCTTGTGTCTCTTTTCGGTACTAGGTAATTTACCACTGTAGCTCAAGGACTTACTTATTTTCGAGGACTTCAATGTAGCATTTGCCTATAGCGCTGGCCACCCATACCCCCTCAATCATATTCGTCTCATGGCAGATCCTCGAGTTACCGCGGTGGAAGTTCCGGATTCTCACGGCTTTATATCTCATCCATGATTGATGCTCGGGACTTCTTCAACGCCTACCAGAAAGCTGGGAATGGCAGCACTTAGAATTGATAAGTCTGACTCTTGCCGCGCTTGCTCCCTGTTCGAGCAACGAATAGATCAGTGAACTTATACGTATGGCTAGCGAGTTGCCCTTAGTATGCTGAAGCTGCAGCCCGTTTGCATTATGGATTGGGCAAAAAGGCATCGCAGCAGGCTTCTTACCGCAAGAGTGATGCGTCTATGATATGGCAGAGCACTTAGAAGATGTACATCCAACCTCGTGTTACAGAGGCAGAGGCATAGGAACGAGTTCTTAAGGGCACTCTCATTCCCCAGGAGGAGTTTTTGGATCCTAAGTCGATCGAGTCCAATGGCGATACCATTATACAACTTGATTTGTCGGACGGTATTGTGTACCATATCTCTAGAACAGATATGTGATCACACTTGAGTAGGAGAGCAATCTGTTAATGAGAAAAGGCATTGTAGACTAACAAAGTAGGCATATTGGGAAGGAATCAGAAAGCTTCTAGTACTAAATAAGAACGCTACAATACTGATCAGAATGCCTAAGACATACTGAAATTACCTAATTCTTTTCATTAAATACCTTAGGTACATAGAAAAGAGGTTTTCAGTTTTCTCATCACGCATTGGCTTGAAGACAGTATTGAGTGATCTCCAGCAGATCACGTGGGAGGCTGAGCATAGATACCCGCTTGGTCGACTAGTCTATATCGGGCTAGATCCATCAGCTCATCCTCTGGTTGCCATGGATATTAAGGGAACGAGATCTGGGTCGCACTTGCAGCTCAGCACCCGCAGCTCGCGCCGCATTTCAACCTTTGCATACATCCACTTCGTTCACCTCTCTTTGCAGTCACACCGCTGCCAAACAACATCGCACTTTTCACTCCTTAGCTTTTCATAAAAGCAATACTAACGCAACGATGGCCGACAACAACGCTACTCTTCCCCAGGATCCTTCCCAGGTCCAGGGCGCTACCTTTGCCGAGGAGAAGGGAAAGGGAAAGGCTCCTGCTGAGCAGATGACTGAGGACACCGCTATGGATGAGGATGACGACGATGACAGCGACGATGATGATGATGAGGAGGTATGTGCTGCCGTCCTCCGATATTTGGTTCTTGACAATTGCTAACACTGATTTTCTTAGGTCCCCGAAGCCGGTAATTACATGCACCTGCAAAATTCAGACCATGAATCAAGCTAACCCACGCGCGCAGATGAGGAAGATGGCTTGGAGGAGATTGACCCCAACAACATCGTCCAAGGTCGCCGTACTCGAGGTGCCCAAATTGACTTCGCCAAGGCCGCCGAGCAAGTCCCTGCCGACGACGAGGATGAGGAAGACGATGAAGACTTCCAGCCCCCCAACGAGGACACCAAGATGTCTGACTAAATGCACGCCATGTCCTGATCCTATGGGTGTTTATGGAGGAGACAGTACGATGTTATGAATTTTGGAACTGAGCAAAAATAAAAAGGCGTGGGCGCGGATGAATATACCTGTTTACCCAGGCTCTGGGCTTGGGGATCTAGGCGGCACGGAGTCGTGGATAGCATCAGCCACCTTTAGCATTCAACCGCTTTGCATATGTACTGTACGCGTGCAGTTACATGCATTTATGAGCAATTTGAGATGGCATTAATACAGTCAAAATCCCTGTGCAACATCAATATTGTGATGCTTATCACGCGCTGAGTTGAGAAATTATAGCTGTGCTGAAGCTCTGCCTGCTCTAAGCTCATGTGCCATGTTTGACTCACTTATGCCTACCATCCATAGTAAAACCATCATACCCGTCATTGTATACGTAATTAAATGCCTATCTCAACAACAAATCAACTTAATCGTGACTTGTCCTCAAGTCGAAATTCAACATCAAACTCCAGACCATGACACGGGATTGGACAGCCCCTCGGTACGTATCCTCCGTCCTCCCCAATCCAATGAGCCAGACCGCTGTCATCAACTAAGAGAGAACACCTAAGAAAAACAGCCAGGGTATCGTAGGGGGGAGGACCCGAGATTCGCGAACCCCTCGATAATTTTTTAATCTTCATCTCCTTTATACACAAACCCTTTCTTGGTTTGTCCCCCCGACTATCTGGTCTCGACAGAATAGTCATGGCGCAACGGTACGACGCTCCTTTGCAGATGGTGGCAAATCGCATCATCAGAACCCGAACAATCGATTCGAGACAAAGTATTGACAGCGCATCATAGATTCGGTGCATCGTCGCTTCATCAGCGCGACTCTCGCAGCGCTCTCTTCGAGGGCTACACTGGCGACTCAGCATCTCGACGACCCGTTAGCGCGAGCCCAAACCGAGGATACGGCTACGGCGGATACGGAGCCCCCTCGCCTTCGCCCCTTGGACAGGGAGGTTTCGATGCATCGAGACCTGGTTCGTTCCGATCTGCGACACCGAACAAGAGGGGCCAGTATAGCGATGCGGTGCTCAATGAGCTTGAGAGCCAGAACGACGCGCAGGTGGAGGGTATTCTTGGCAAGGTCAAGGTGCTGAAGGACGTGAGTTGTTTTACTCCTTTCCAAGTGTTGTTGGTGGT